ATCACACAACTCAACAGCAAAATCCTACATTTTTCCTCGAACTAGGAGAAAAGCTCTCCTTCATATGTACCACTAGGTCAAATTTAGTGATCTGATTTTGATGTTTGAAGCCATAGAAAATGAAAGCCAGCAAGCTAATTCAATGACAACCACATGAAACCGTAGCATTATCTACCTTTCTCTCACTCAGTAACACCAGTCCTCAGTTGACAGCAACTCTGATCCAGCACAAAGCTTCAATTTCACAAAAAAAAAAACCCCATACTAAATGTTACAATACTGTGCGGTCTGATAAGAAGCCTGTTCTTTGTTGCATGAATAGTTCACCATGTACTTCAGAGTAATGTATTAAATCAACCTAGACCTATTAAGAGAGGCCCAGAACACTTACTGAATCGATGCTGATGGTACTCCTTTAAAAAATAGATTTTAACTAGATTAGTGATTGGGGTAAATTTGCTAGTTCCATAATTTAAACTGTAGCCATTTACAATCCAAATAACACCATCCCCCTGCATCCTTCCTCTTGTGGAAGCAGAATACACTTTCAGAGAAAGCCAAGGAACATACACATACAGAATTGAGCTTTTGCTTTCAGTATCTGCTCAAATTCAAGGCCGTCTCCTGCCAGTGCCAAAGCCTCTCTTCCCCCAACTTCTCACAGTATTGTATATTACCACATAGCAGAAGTGCAATTTTAGAACTGCCATAATCTAGTTCTTCACACTGAAGGCCACACTAAGTTGTACCGTTAACATACATTTGACTAACTGTAGAATGAATAAATTGTACTTCAAGTGACTTTAATCGAATCACTTTATTCCTCTGTTTAATGGTACTATTCCACAAACAACATTAAGATTAAACCAGTCAACTGCAGTCAGTGGAGGCACTGCATTCCTATTTACTTTAAAAATTTTGTGTTCAAGTAGTAGGCTTTAAATGTAAAACCATTCTTAATTAGGTATGAAAGTATTTCCTAACACATCACTTATTAAAATACAACCTTCATTAGATGTTCATTTAGAATAGATTTAATTCTTTACAGTAAGAAAGTGAGTATGAGCATACAGAAGACCAGATACACCTGTTCTTAGCTTCCCTGTAGCAATACAATTGCAACATTAGCAATGGAACAGACTGAGGATATTCAGAAGTCAGGGGAACATAAAAAAAAAAAATCAGTTATGTCTGTACTACAAACCTGAACTATTAAGAAGTATAAACCAAAGACCTGGGATCACCTCTGTTGACAGACAAGGGAATTCAGATACCACACATTGTATCTCCATCTATTCTCTCTGCCCTTTTTTCCAGTCATCTGCTAAGCATTTATGGAAAATTTTGAAGTAGGTGTCTTTGTTCTCGTGTTCACCCTTACATAAAGGCATTCTCTTTTTGTGCTTTAAAAAAAAAATCTGTCACCAATTATCAAACTGGTTTGATGACTAAGCACAAAGGCCTCCCACCTTTAGAAACTGGGACAAACAATTTGATAGGCATGCAGAAGGCTGAACAATAGAGGCACCTAACTACTGACTTCAGATGTCTAAAGTCAGAGGCAAGCACTGTTACAGACAACGCCTCACAGACTTGCCTGTGCACTAATGCCTTTGTTTTATCTAGAAGTGATTTTTTTTAATACAGGACTAGCATAGCAAAAACAACCCACAAAGCAAAGAAGCAGGAAGCTAACAACAGAAAAGCAGTTACTCCTTCCATAAACACGCTTTTCCTCCTCCCAAGTGAAGGGATTGGAGTAACACAAGCTTAGGGAAGTGTGACAGCCCAGGAACTTTTCACTACTGAAGTAACTTATGCATTAAGCCACACCACTGGGCAAAGCCCAGCCCACAGTATTAACTGGAATGCAGGTACATGGCATCCATATGCAACTGAAGTCACACTCGCTACTCACTCTTCAGATCATGAAAGAGGCACTGCTCATGCTGTCATGCCATTACAGGTAGAAATTGCTTACATATGGAAGACTAAACATCACTGGCAGTGGGCAAAGTGTTACAAAAGCACTAGAGCACAAAAGAGTCTATTCCTGTATTTCTGCTCCAACTTTGCAAACACAGCCCCTCTAGTAAGTGGTTTTTAGTGTCTGCAACACATTTGTACCTCAGTCCACCCAGGTATCAAAGCCAGCTCACTGTTTCAGCACAAGATTCTATGATTGCCTGCAAACAGTGACAAAAACAGTCTTGTATCAGAGGTGGACAACAACCACCACCTGTGTGAGCTCATCTCTAAAACTGTGAAATAGCTCCTCCATTTCTCCCACCCTGTCTTAACACCTACTGTAAAACAGAAAGGATAGTTTCAGAAGGGTCAAATACACCAGTTCTAAATAAATAGTAATTCCATGCTCCAGGTATTTGCATGGAGAGCTCGGGTAAAGTTTTCAAAGCAACAAACGAGCTCAAAGTCTTAGTAATTAAGACATTCAGAAAATATGATTTTAGTCCTTGTGACTGATGTTTCACCTCGTTTACCACCCAGTATTTGTGTAAGTCCTAAATACAGTAAGACTAAGGTAACAACATTGACCACAGAGGTATTGTGTTCATCTGAGAACCCACAGACAGCACAGCACCCTGAACATCAAACGAGTCACATATTTCCAGGTTCAGCTAGTTTTGAGGACAGAAGCATATTGTGATACTCAGCTGAACAGTGCCTACAACCAGTCCATGCTCCGAAAATAATGACAGAATTAACATTGGAAGTAGAGAATATTAGCAATAAGTTAAAAACTTCCAGATGCTACTTTTTAAAACATGGTTTACATTTCAGTCAGCAGTAATCTTGTGCAAAATAAACAATCTTGAATTTTAGATGCTTATAGATGTTTACTAACAGTTATAAAAACCATACTTGGGTAGCTGTTTGGAAAAAACATTGAGGATATTCTTCCAGCTAATGAGTTTCTTCTTAGTGTTGGTCTCATGGAGATTAAAAAACACCATATTTGCTCTGCAGTAATATAACTGAACAAGAGATTACTCTTTCCTTCCATAGTTAAGGGACACAAATTTAAAACCTGACATGTTATTACAGGTTAAGTGAAGGTCTGGCTCTTTTCTGACCAGCACGTGATCTAGATGTCAGCCATATAGCCTGAATGATTTAGTGACCCATGCCAGTCAGAAAAGTCTTAGAGTAACAAAATTTATGATTCAGGTCAAACTACTTAGTCAATGAGGCTGAGAGCAATTCAGCTCACCTGAGATACCTACTAGCTGATCCACCAAACTGCTCTCCTGCCTACTGCACAGAGCCTGACAACCACTGAGCTGCCAGTGTTCTGACCCTTACATCTAAGAATCTGTACTGAATTGCCTCCCATAATCCTGCTGCAACTTGCACCAGCTGAAGTCACTATTATGTAGAGACACAAAATCATTAGCTATGCTTACTACTCAATTTAGATTTAAGAAACTGAAGGTAGTATCTAGCAGGTACTTTACCCCCTTACCCAGTTATGACTGAAATGTTCTTCCCTCTCTCCTATCCTTGCTCTAGGTAATTTTATCCTTTTATCCTTTGCCTGACAACAAGCTACCACAGAATATCTTCTTGTCTAGCAATGCTCCAAAATAACTTACTGCATGAGCTATTGTTACACAGCCACTTCGAATTCACTAGCAAAGCTACATGGGAACAACTTTACTATGTTAGAGGCAGGCTGCAATGGGAGAGAAAGCTATTTTGGCAAGGACATGAAATTAAGAATTAAACTATCAGAAAACACTGATTTCTCAGAAGTTTCAGAAGTTTTGTGTGCAGCTAACTTAAGCTTTAAAGCTTCATTTTTGTTGCAAAGTTTTACCCTGCTGACAAGTTAATACAATACAGACAGGCTGATCGATCAGTGAGTGAAGATACAGGACAGGAAAAGCAAATGACAACATCAACATCAAATGTTGGCCAAGCTATTCCAATTACCACTTTCCATGTAAGAAATGCATAGAATAAACCACCGCATGATGAGTCACAAGCAATACAAAAAGCTAGTAAGTTAAAATGGTTCCTTTCCTTTGCACATTAAAAGCAAGAGTAAAGCAACTGAACTAATATAGCCTTAATCACATGATTTACAATCAGTTACAGAATGAATACTTCTTAATCCTTCTAAGCTACAGTAAGAACTGTAGCATAGTTGCATGCCTACAACTAACAAGAATATTCCCTAGGCTTTAGCAAACAAACCTCTGAACAGTTTCAAACTACCTGCTTTTATCTTTTTAGCTACTCTTGATTTAAGGCACACATCACAAAAGATGCTACAGATTCTTCTTATCTGAAACTGAATCTTCAAATGGATATTTACCCTTACCCAAATTCTAGAAATATGGAACTGTGCAGCAATGGTCTGCTAAAGACATTGTTTTTTAATTGATTGAATGAAGAACAGCCTTTTACAAAAAAAAGAGACAGTTATGATTCAGAATATTTTGCATACTACTTTGCAAGTTAGTCTGCCAGACTTATTGAAAAGCTCTGTAAAGAGAAAAACATCAATGTAGAAAAGTTGCAGTAAAGGTTATATTCAGTATTATACACTGACCAAGTCTAGGTTATGGCATAATTCAATGAATAAAAAAAAGCAGTATTTAGTTCTCCAGTGCTGCACAAAGAAAGAGACAGAGGCCTAAAAACAGGAGGAGCCAGTGAATGTATGTTACAAGCCACAAGGAATAATGTGACCTGCCGTTGCAGAAACACATTGAAATTAAGTCTGATCTGTGCTCAAGTACTGAAGGAGTGATTCTGAAAATGCGCAGTAAAAAAGTTAATCCTATCAATCCAATAACTTAGCAGTAGTGTTTCAAAACATCAAAATCCAGAGCTAGAAGACACTGTTGAAGCTACTTCGCATGACAACAAGTTTTCTATACAGGTATAGTCTACATATACACACTACATATATAGTACATATAACACTAAGTATCATGAATGTAAAGAGCTGAAACATTTGCATAACAACTTACTGTGTAAGTGATAGCTGCCAACATTCCAATCACAGTCAAGGAACTAATGGAAAATGAAAGAGCAGTCAAGCCATCTGAAAAAAAAAAAAGCAGCCTGTTGAAAATCCCTACAATAGAGGTATAAGAAAGTTTGTTTGAATTCATCTCCTGAAGATATTTAAAAGCTCATTAGAACGATAAAAAAATTTGAGCCATAGTTACCAGCCATAACAACTCAGATGAAAAATTCACCTAGCATAGCTTTGTCAGCCACAGAACAGCCATCTCTCCTTTGCTACAAGTTCACAGAAGTTGCATTCAGTCAAACAGTTTAATAGCCACTAATGAACTTACTCCCATAGCTGTCTAACCCCTCTTCAAGACTTATTTCTAGTCTCCACAGGGTGCTGTGGTAATTTTCACAATTACACATGCATTCCAGATGATTCATCTTTGGGTTTTTTTTCGTTATCTCCTCATTTCTCATAATAAAGCACTATCCAGACAATCAGGCAAGCATGGATCCTTCAAATAAACAAGCAAGCCAGACTGCGGGCCTCAGCTTTACTCCAACCACATACATCCAGATGTACAAACTAAAAAAAGGTCAGGGCACTAAGGAGTTACTGTAGCTTAACTATCACTCTAGAAATTAAAAGTGATAGTAGAAGACTGCACCAAAGTCATCCTCAAAGGTATCAAACTCCCTGAATCCTCCTGCGTAATTTTTCACAACAGCCCTGTCCCTAACATCACTATGCAGGACACATGGCAAGCTGTTTTGGTTAAATGGTAGCATGGAAATAAATAGTAGCTATTATAGAAATTAATTTTAAGCAATTCATTTCATGTTTGCACCTAGTTATAATTACTAAGCTACTATTTAATGTTCTCCCCATGTCTTCCCCTCCCTCTAGTTAATTCAAGAATTTAGAGCACAATAACTTTTATTCCTACCCGCACAGAACAATTAGCCAGTTTCCACTCATTAGCTGGTTTTCATTCTTTCTTCCTGAACATAGTTTCAAGCATTTACAAACTGAGAAATCCTGTTACAGTTACCCTATACGTGAAGCCACATCTTTCTTCCGCCCAACCCTACAGGTCTCCTTCCTAAAATACCAAAAACTAATAGAACAGCACAATCAAATCCAAATTCACAGCTCAAATCTTTCCTTTGTTATTTTTACTAGACAATACCAAACATCTTCCCCTAAGCTAACAACAATATGACCATAAGCTTCAAATACTACAGCTATGTTTAAAACTGAAAAAAACCACCCCAATGCTATTCCCCCTTTTGTACTTCTGAAAATTTTACCCAAGACCTGAAGTTTAAGGGAAAAACACCCCAGGCATTAGTGACCCCTACTTCTAACGTATCACACAATGTACTTAAACACCATATTTTAAGATCCTCTAGTACAAATATTTGAAACCAGTATTTAAAATCCTTTTAAAGAGTTTGAACTATATTCAACAGAACATTAAGAAACTAACTGGCTTAAAAATTGATAATTGTATACTAGAAGTATATTATCAAGCTCTGCCTCAGTGGATGACCTTGCATTCCTCTTATAATCCCACTACACACTAAACAGACATAGAACCAACATCCAAAACTAAGATCTTTGTATTTCTTGGGTTAACTGCAGAAAAACAAAGGAAAAATTAATATAAAAACAGGACAACAGGTACAAGTAAAAACAACAGGCAAGAATTTTGTCCACATTCCTCCAGCATCTGGAACATGGAAGAAACTTTCGCAACAAGCTGACCAGGGACTTGCTGGCTGTGGAGTAGCTCTACAAAAACCCAGGGAGTCTTGGCAGCCAGCAAGCTGAAGATACACCAGCAGCATGCCCTGGCAGCAGGGAAGTCCAACAGCATCCTGGGCTGTATCAACAGGAACATGCCCATCTACTAAGGGAAGGGACCATATAGGGAATACCACAACCAGTTTTGAAGCCCTCACTACAGGCAAAGATTGATAAATCTGAGCAAGTCAAGCAGAGATCCAAGTTGGTCAGAGGTAGGAGCACATGCTGTGCAGAGAAGTTGAGGGAGCCAGGCTTGTTCAGCCTGGAAAAAGAGACAACTTTGAACAGACCTAATATAGCCTGCCAGCTTATTAAAAAGGTGGAGACCAGGCTCTTCAGTGTGCCTAGTAGTTGAGTGTGAGGCAATCAGTGACAGTGTGTAAACCCACACTGGATAAGAAAAATTTTTTTTTCCACCATGACATGAAAGAATCTCATCCTCAGGGGTTTTTCCAAGAGCTAAATGATAAAGCCCTGAGCAACCTGGTCTGACCTTGCAGCTTGCTTCTTCGTGCAGGAGTTTGGACTAGATGACCCAAGGTCGCTTCACTCTGACCTATCCTATGAAATCAAAAGTCAAAAGAATGCTGGTAGAGTCAGAAATCAAAACCAAACTTCCCCACCTGAATCCGGTATCTTAATTATTAAACCTTCCCAGAAATAAACATCAGCTATACCATACTTTCATAGCAAGGACATGTACTGAGCTGAATATTTAAATTGACAGACATACCGAGGCAGTCTAGAAAAATTAGCTTACATCTCAGCTCAACCACTGTAACTACCCATATAAACAGTTTAAGAAGCATTTTATTCTGTGCTATCAGAATCTTTGTGAAGGAAGAGAAACAGAACCAAGCTGCCAGCCAAAGTTGTGAAAAAGTTAGACTTGCCCTCCCTATCTCCTATGCTTGCAAGCACAGCTTACAGCACAGCACACAATGACAAAAGACTCTTCAAGGATGTCAAAGGCAGCAAGAAGGGATTCTTCAAGTGAGTGGCAAAAGGAAGACAAGGCAAAATGTGGGCCTGCTGCTCAGTGGGGTAGGGGCCCCGGAGACACAGGACATGGAAAAGTCTGAGGTACAGAATGCCTTCTTTGCCTCAGTCCTTACTAGCAAGGCAAGACTTCAGGCAACCCAGGCCCAAGAGCCCATGGGGAAAGGCTGGAAGGAGGATGTACCCTTGGTGGAAGAGGATCAGGTTAGAGAACACTTCAGCAAACTGGACGTACAAAGTTGATGGGCCCTGAAGGGATACACCAAGTGTGGACAGAGTTAACAAGTGTCATTGCAGGGAACTTTTAGTCAGTACAAAATTCCTAGAATAATGCAGAATATGACTTGACCAAGGCTCATAGCATTGTCTTCTAAAACATTCAGACAGAAGCCAATACTCTGATACATAGCAATAATGAGGCACAAATGAGGTACATATGCATTTGGATTAATGGGTGTTAGATAACTTTTAGTAACCATTTTCCTGGATACATTTGGAAAGTGACATCAAGTCTGTCATAGCTCACATATAAAACACCTTCATCACACCTTTGCTCTGGAAACATACTCTGGCTAAGTACATGAACTGCATAAGCAAAACATTAAATACAACTTCATGGAGCTTAGCTTTCACTATAGTTCTTTATAGCCTTAGTGGAAACAAATATAACAAACAAACAAAACAATTTTAGAAAAGGTTAATACTAGTAGAACAAAGGAAAAAAATTCAGAACACTAGGATTTTCCTATCTAAATAGACAAAGCCACTTATAGTCTCATTCTTACAGTGAACAGCAGTATCACATTTAATTAGGAAAGCTCTCAAAAACTGTCATATGACAAGATACTCACTCACCATACTGAAGTTCTCCAAATTTAGGGTATCCAAGTAACATTTAAAAGCTGTGTTAAGTGAAGACTCCATGGAAAAAAGTACCTTCCCCTCCTCACCATTAATCTATCACACAACTCCGGAATCCTTGCTGTCAAATGGGGACTGTACTGAAAGCAAATGCTACCAGTGTCTCCTCTCTACTTTAAAGACTATTCTGATTATTTTTTTTTTTGTCTGAACAGAAGGAGAACAATCTTATTACAAAGATTTAGTGTAGGCAAGCAGTTAGAGTCAAGTTAGAAAACTGTCACCAAGAAAATTAGTTTTCTTGTTCAGTCAATAAGTAGGCCAAAACAAGTTAGTAGCAAGTTACACAAAGCTCAGAACAAGTCTCAAACTTACGGCTACTTCCAAGTTCTTCAAAGAGGAGCTTCACCTTCTCCCACTCTGTGGAATTCTTCTTGCTGGGAATACCCAACGGAACAAAAGCACTGTAACAAAGCCAAAAGTCATCTCACTTACCCTAATCAGTAAAATATCAAAAGAATTCTACTTCCAAGTTAAGAAAACAGAAATCCATTTATGTCTGAAGAAAAATTGTATGATGTTAGGTTTAGAAAATTCTGAAGGGATTTTTTAATTTTAGTCACATTCCCCTCAAACACTGTATTTAGATCAGCAGAGTACATAATCGAGTGTGTACACAGTCAGGTCTGAGGTCAATGAACAAGTGATTTTCTATTTACCAGTCCTAATAGAGGTAAGGACCCTACACTCAAGCATCATTAAAAGATGTATTAATCTGATTTACCATCCTGGTTTGACTCAGATGCAGAGGAGCAAAAAGACATCAGTTGAGACAAATTCTCTTATAAATCCACACTTTTGGAAGCTAGAATAAAACAACTAATGATTCCCACACCAAGCATTAATTAAAGTTTAAAGGGACATGTTTATCTTCCATTATTGCAACTAAAATGATGCCACATTTGCTGTGGAGAAGTTCATTGAATATTTTTGACCTTCCAACAAGCAGAGACTAGCAAAGAGTGTTCAGGAGAACATCAGGTAGACCATTCCCCTAGCTGAAAGCTTCTTTCTGTCAGTCTCTCCATCTTAAGTCCAACAATAACTCTTCAGTATATCCATAGACAAAAACACTAGTTTTCCAACAGCTGGAACATCAGCACCTCCATACCAATCCGAAACCATAGATTTCAGACGTAAAACAGAATGCCTACTACAAGTCACAGGGAAGTCAGATTTAGAGGGAAACTTTTTAGGTAAAGAATGTGAGAAGCCAAACTAAAGTTCATAAAGAATGCTCACAAGTATCTTTTGTATTTTTGTAAGGAGTACCTAATTAGATTCCTGCTTCAAGTCTCAATGAACAAATGAATCATAAATACGCATCTTCCAAGAGTATGCCTCAAACTTCCAGTATAGAAGTGTTTCAGAAGTTAGTGCTAAACTGTTTGCACTTATAACTATCACATCAAAAGAAAAAAAAACTGGTACTTTGTAAAAGTTAAAATCTTAAAAATTAGAATCTTTACTTCAAAAAAAAAGTTTGATTTTTAGCTTCTTGACTGTGCAAGAGGAAGATTAAGGCTAGCATTTATAAAAATTGATGCATTTTTGCCAACTTTAGATTTAACTCGTACCTGCCTCTAGTAGTAATTCTTTCTGCAAAATAGCATCCAGGAAAGATCAAGACACAGGTATTAAAACAAAGTTAGGCAAAGTTTCTACTTACAAGAGATAGCAACACAAATAACTGCAGGTTTATTTGCTAAAAAGGGTTCATATAGGAGACTTTGGGTAACTAAGTGAGTTCATGTCCTTTTATTTTAGCATCAGTATAAATTTGCTATCTGTGGACCACATGCAGGGAACAAATGAGATGGAAGAACATCTCCGGATACTTATAACTTGCTTGATTTTTTTCTCCCCCTCCAAGAGCCATAGGGTTAAATTTTGTGGTTTTGTTGCTGAGACTGCCTATAACCAGCCTGTCAAAGGACACTCATGAGAGCAGAAGCCACAGTACCCATTATACACACTCTTCAATTAGAGTACTCTACTAAGTCTTGACTGAAGAAGATGGACTTCTGATTCTGCTCCTGCTAAAGTTCTATCTACCAAGGGTTCCAGAAAGGAATGCAGGAGCTATAAATTCACACACTGTAGTCCTCAGCAAGCAGGAATCTTCTTTCCCCTTCTGAACAGGGTCCCTCAACTAGTAGTAAACTAGCCAGAAGGATAGCTAGCCCAATTGAACAGAGTTTTGGCTTGTAGCTTAACAAGACAGAGTTACATGCCTAGCCATCTACAGACCTGCATCCAGTCCACACTCCCAAGGGATCTCCGAAACACAGCCCATCCATTGTACCAGCACAGCACACAGCAGTTCAGGCCTATTCTTCATGCACACTACACAAGAATAAATTTGACAAAAATCTTGGCTATTTACCTATGTTGACTAACACTATAGTAGCCATCAACAGAATGAGAAGTTTCCATGCTAAGCAACTCCATTCACTTCTCACTGTGATGCAATACAAGTGAGTCCACTGACAAGTGAATAGAGCAGAAGTGCCAGTGCAGGGTTTCACAGGTGTAGCTGAGAATTCAGTTATTGCAAGCAAACAGAGAAGCTCAGCTGCAATGTGATGTTTTACACTTGGAATTCTGGACACAAATGAAATTATTGGCTGCAGTAATTTTAAGAATAGAACCAAACTGCTATGCTGTTTAAAACACTCCCTGAGAATATTATGGTTAAGATCTAGATCAATATCCAGGCTGCAGAACAAGGAAACTAAATGCAAGACAAGCAGTTTAAAACTATTAACTTTTGGCAGGGCTGATAACACAGGTGTAGACAGATCAAGTTTGATCCTTAAATCAAAGAGTGCCATTAACTGTCATCCTTTGGAAAATAATTTCCAACACAGCAGATTTAAACTCATTTCCTTAAAGTGAGTTCTGCTATCATTTGTATAACTATTTAGAGATTAATTAGACATATATTCACAGCTTTTTAAAAGCTAATGGTCCTAGAAAATTTAAGGTAACCAGCTGAATTCCAAACACTAACAAGTCAGTGAAACATTTCTTTTATAACCACTCAGACTCAAAAGCAAACATTTTAGTTCAAACCAGACTGCTGTATAAGGATGCCTTAACGTAGACGGCAGTATTTCAAGCCCCTCGGCTCCAGCACATGAAATTTAGAAAGAGAACTACATGCAAGGAAAGTAGATAATTTGTAAGAAGGGAAAGGCATTACCAGTATTACCTCCAAGTACCCCAGTATAAATTTGTCCTATACTTTGCTTTTAATGATACTCTGCATCGAGTTATTCATGTACAAAGCATTTGAGTGGTATTACAGACATGCACATCTTTACTACAGATTAACAAACAACTAGAGTAAGAGGTATAAATACTACTCCCGCTAATGATTTGGACAATGGAATCGTGCTCTGAGCTGTGTTATCAACTTTAAAAACCTCCAAGACAATATAGCACGAAAACAGGTATTATGTTTCCCAAAATAATCAGATAGATCTCTAATGGAGCAAGGTAAACATCCCAGTAAGAATAAGGTATTCTTAAACGTCAAGCTTAATCCAGCTTTTATGGTACCTTTGACAACTGCTGACCAGGAAAGAGATAGGGACTTCTTGGGTAGACCTATCTTTAAAGGAACCAAGCTATTTATGGACCTGTTTTAATTATACATATTACTTGCTAACTCAATCAGAACAGAGGTTGTCTTGATAGGAGACTAGTCATGTAAGCACAAGACGACAGACTATTTCCTGGGCACCTAACAGAAAATACTCGAACCCCTCTGGCTCTTGTGACCTATGTGCATGAGCATTCTACTCCACTAAACCTAGCCTCCCAAAATTAAATCTAGTACATAAAATACCAGTCTGTTTCAGTCTTGGTCTGATCCTGACCATCAGCAAGAAAATTACTTTACTGCCAGGAACAGGCAGTACCACAAGACTAGCCTTCACTACCACATCTAGATGAGCCCCTCATCTAGAGCCTTCAGCTCCAACATTTTCATCTCTTTCCTATCACACTGGGATTTCTGAGGCCACTCTTTGCCCTTGCTGTGCAGACAGCTGACTAACTCCAAGACGCGTAACTTCTCCATAACACATGTACATAAACACCAAGACACCTGATTATGCTAGAACCAAAGTTCACATTTTTCTTCAGCAGTTACCTCATTTGCTTCTTAAAATGAGCTGTTCAGTTTTGTAGTTTCCCTTAAAGGAGGCAGACAAGAATTACGTTCTTCTGCAGCAGCACCTTAAGTAGCAAGGCTGCTTCTCTATTCCGAGGGCATTAGGATGATGCTACTATTCAATCATTACCAACTTAAAAGCAAGTAACCGCATACATATAATAACAAAAAAGTTATTTCAACTGGCACCCAGAAATACTATCAGTATCTAAAGGAGTCACGCCTCTTTGCAGCAGATGCTCCTGCTCTTTAGATCAGTGGATTTCAAGCCTGTACCTACACAGAAGCACTGTTCAACAATTAACTCAGTCCCAGGCTGAGTACTACAGCTAGCTGGTTTGCAAGTCAATCTCACTGTCTTGTGGCACAGTATCAGAGTGGATCGTGGAAGCCACTGTAATTAACAAGTTATAAAGACACTAAAGAACAAGCCTAAGAGCAGAGGACAATGAGGAAGTCAAGAACCAAGTTCCATCGTACTGGTAGAGAGGAACAAACATGCTTACAGCTACTGAGGATTCAACCGACACCCACAAGAGATACTGCAAAATTTTCTAAACTGGCTATATTATACTGTATATATATGTACATGTATAATGTAAGCCAACAGTCAGAAAAAACAGCTTTTGTCAGTGTCTTGGTTTCGGCTGCTGCCGGCAACACAAAGCACCACGCAGACGCCCCTCCCCCCACCAGTGTGTGGAGGAGAAAGGGAAGAAACAGGCAGAAAACTGGTGGGTCAGGATAAGGGCAATTTAACAGAACAACAAACAGAGGGAACAGTAACAACAACGGTACAAATAAGGAGCAAAACACAACAACGAACCGCACGACCCAGACAGCCGCTCTCCCAAAC